GGAAAGAGAAAAAAATCACAGTTCAACTATCTATGAATGCTATTGGAGTAACCAAGCATATATGATTAAAAAATATTACAAAGTAAATCTGCATGATTCAGGATAACAGATGTTACATATGAAAAAATATCTATTAATGAAATCCATTTCCTTTGTCTAAGTGCAGGACATCTGTAAATAGATCACTAAAACGCAACAAACAATCTCTGCATGTCATAGAAATGATCTTTGGAATAATGAATTTGCAGCTAGCTGATCATTTAGGGCCTAATCCAATTCCCACTGAAATCAAAGGGAGTGTGTTTCTTCTGAGTTTAGTGGAAGTTGGATTAAAGCCTATTATAACCATTTCATGACATTCTGTATATAACCAGATGCTTTTGGTTCTTACCCGATAGTGAGCCAGCTGAAGGGAAAGTTGCACAAAGGCATCAGGGCTTATTTTGGCTTTCTTGATTAATCCTTTGCCAAAATTATCAAAGGGAAAAGAGAAGAAGTCGACATCATTTGCTAGAGTTTTCGCAGTGCACAGGGACCTCTCTATCACTTCTTGGCACTAAAAATATCAACACTTTTTTTAATACATAACACAAAATGGCACTGTTTCTTTAAGAAAATGTTAAAAATAAGATCGTTCATACACTTTATGTATAGCTAAATAATATATTCATCCTCAGCTTAAATAGCTACAAATATCTGACCAGAAAGCTATTTAAATTCCCATATGCTGAAAAATGGAAAAAACAGAGGTCAAGATGCTTCTAGGAGATAGCAAAATTGTTCAGATTTTCATATTCTGAGATATTTTCCAAGTCACTAAAGCTTAAATAGTATTATATGATATGTACAGATCCACATGAAATGAATGAATGCTTCTGTGTCTTCCATGTTGCTATACTCGCTTAACATCTCCATCATCCACCATCTTGGCATGACTTAAAATTTAAATCTAGACTGGCTTTATGAAGTACATGTTGAACCTCTCTAATCCGGTGCTCTTAGGACCGGACAAGTGCTGAACCAGAGAATTTGCCAAACCATGGGAGGTCAATATTGTCTAGCATTGCCAGCACTTGCACTGTTTACTGGGCTGTTAGAAGACATTTAAGGGTAAATTAGAGCTAAATCACAGCACAGAACACTGCAAGCCAAGACTGGGGGCTGTAAAACTTTATGGAACCACAGGAAACTTGGCAACACCTATCATAAGTGGACATTCAGCTAACTAAAATCATGCTGGACCATGGCTTTTGCCAGACCAGAGAGTGTCAAATTAGAGAGGTTCATGTAGTGGTCTGCCCAGGACTCAGGCAAGCTTTGACCTTGATTGCATGTCCTTAAGACAGAATTCTGAGTAAAAGCCAGCCCTTATTACAGCTGGCCTCAACCTAACGAAGGTCTCATACAAAATACGGGAAAGGAAAGAAGGGAAAATGCTCCATTTTCTGCAGCCACCGCCACTAATCTGACTTACATTCACAGTCTTCTGTATTAGCAAGTAATTAGAAATGCAAAGTTAGTATATGATACTTTGCTAAAATACACATTATAAGTGGACAATTTCTTCTATTACATAGCAAACAAATTTCTGGAGCATAATTTGAAATAGTGAAATCTTAGGGTTGCTACAGTGCTGTTAAATCTTGAAAATTATAGATGGCCATTTTTCAGTGCTGGCATTCACAAATTAGCAAGTGTAGCTTAGTTAAGTTTTTACTGGTAATTTGGTCAGAAAACTGAACAGTTTTGAGGGAAAGCCTTTAATAAAAAAAACTCTCAATTTAAGCAAAATGTAAACCTAAATGTTATGGCTTGTCTTATCCCAAGGCTGCTCAAGTGAAACACATAACTGAACCTCAGAAAAGGCTCAAATAAATTGAAGTATAGTGGGGTAAGTTATCTTCACCATAAGGTAACTACTGACAAACAGAAGTAAAATGAACTCAATAACTTATTGGTGATTTTGCACTCACTTCTTCAGGGATGTCCCATTGTAGTCTGGTGGGGAATAGAATATTTTGATTGATGTCTCCTGTGCAATGACCATCCTCTGTATATCCCAATTGAAGGCATTCGGAAGACATAACATTCTGCAGAGAACAAGACATAACGGAGCTATATATATTATACAAAAGAGCTGCAGGTTATAGCTTTCATTTTGGAGTTAGGCTAACAATTCCGTTTTTAATCTACAGAAATATTAATTACTCTAGATTCAGAACACAAAACTGTATCTGCAGATATATGTTCCGTAATGCACTGAACATTCCATTTCTCTCTCTAGTATTTAGAGCAGGAACACAGCTTTGGTGAAGGAATTTTCTTAAAGTGCCACCACAATGGATTTATTTGTTTTAAATCAGAACCTTGAATTAACCAAAGCAGAGACTGCGCTATTTGGATATTAGCCAGATTCTAGACAAGAGGTACCTCTTGATTTATAAAATAAAGGATAGTAAAAATATCTAAATAATAAAAACATGAATGCAGCCTCTTCTGTGCTTTTGTGTTTATTGCAAGCACTTTTTATACACTGCTAATGGTCATGGCAAAAATATTTTATTTCTTAAATGAACAGAAACAGTTTTACTGTAAAAATGGGAGTTCCACAGTATTTTACCACAAATGCAATAATATGTGAGACCATAAATCTGTATAAGTCTACTGTGCTGCTGCTCCTGAAACTAGAGTAGAAAAGAAAGTGACTGTCCCACTGATGTCTACATACTCTTCAACGTGACTTCCAGTTGATACTTAAATCTGCTTAACAGTGGTAGCACACCCAGAGTACAGAGCAAAGCATCTTTATAGCAAACCTGTTATTCCATGCATACTTTAAACCTCTTGCTCATCACTGTGCTACTCCATTTGACAGACAAACCATGCCAACCCCCTGGTACACAACTGATATTTAAATTAATGATTAGATTCTACTATATCTTTAGGTATAATCAGCTAGCAGTAGTTAATCCTTCAGAAAATTATACCAAATTCAATTTAATCTTGACTTCCTAGCAAGAAATAAATGCCATACCCTAAAAACAACTAGATAAAGGAAAAGAGATAAAAACCAAAATAGTCAGTGTTTCTCTAAAATAATAATACTACTATTATATTATTATTATTATTCTAAAATCTAAAATGGCAGGAATATCTGTTGGAGATATCTTCCTGTAGACCCACCAAATTAGATGTTTCCATTTGGCTAAGTAATATTTTCTAGCGGAGTCCTTTCTGCTACTATTGAGAATAGTTCACATGGTTTTAGAATAGGAATGTTCTAGGTTTGATGCCATCCAAATACCAAGTTGAGAGATGAAGTGCATCTGGATTTGGATATTTGACTGCCACTCTCCTTAGTATCTCACACATGCATGTCTTTCACATTCACCTCCCAACACATACTTATCTTGTTAGTTTTTTATACTTCTTTCAAAGTGTGTTATTTTAGTTCTCTCTCTTATGCTTAAATTTAATTCTTTGAGTAATGCAATAGCACCTGGTGGAGATACGTGTTTCTCTAAGGCAGCAGAGGCAGTGCTGGAAATCATTGCTGACCAAGAAAGAGTGAAGGCAGGAAACAGTTTTGAAGCCTGATGCTGTCTGCATAATCTAATTTCTGTAGCAGGACAGAGTGGTTCGCCAGGAGGGATGGAAGGAAATCTAAACAAGCTAATAAAATTATAAACACTATCACTGATAAGAATTCTGAATTATTTCCAGGTTTGAAGTCTTTGAAAACAGGAGACCCTCCAAACACTGGGAGCTTCTGACAGAGTCTGTGTGGCAGTATGAAGGATCTGGAAAGGCAATAGGTTTATCCTGTCCCTTGTACTCTTGGGGTAGAGCATAAGAGCAGAGGTAAAGGCACAGGTGTAAAGCAACAGACATTACTTGCAAGAATTTTCTGGTCTTAGGTACATTAAGCCACAGTGGAATACACAAATGGAACAGCACTATAAACAGAGGCAGTGACCATTCAGTTTTCTGTTTGAATGTTTATCACATGAAATACTATGAACTCTTACAACTTTCTTAGTAAGTGTAACTTTAAACAAACTTCAGCCTCATTGTTCACAAGACCAAAGTAACTAAGATGAGATAACCCCTTTTGTTACCTTACTTTGTTAGGTATATAAACACTCACCTCCCAAAGGTGTCCAACAATAGGAGCATCTGCCCAAGAATGTTCCGCATTCAGGCCCATTTTGCCATTCTTGAATACGACAAGAGTGAATGTTTTGTCAAACCACCTAAAAAAAAATTGGGAATTTTTTTTTGGATATTTAAAACTTTCCAAAGTGACATCTGGTTGAATCTCTCTTATTCAGACACCCTAGCACACACAATTTTGGGTGACAAATAGAAAACAAAAGATTTAAAAACACATGCTACAGAAATAGCCAGCCTATAAATTTACTGGGTCAAATGTAGTAGAGGCAAAAATATAGGCACAACTCAAACTCTATCAAAGTGAAATAAAATTAAACAGATTAATGCCTTCTGTGAATGTTGCCAATCAAATGTATCTGATAGTATGAGGATGTGATTTTACAACTGTGTATTATGCTTTGTATTAAAAACTATGTAAAATAAAAATAAAGACTCTTAAGCATTTTACTTTTGTTTGAAAATTCAAAGATTGAAAACCTACACATTTTCAAAACAATAAGTACATTTTGAACATAAAGGAAATCTGGAATTTTAAAGTTTTCTTGGCGACCAAGCCACCACTACAAATTTGAATGCTTCTTGTACTTGTGAACTTTGGCATGGCTATGACACTATAACTGGTTATGAATTATGAAATGCAAAACACATACATACGATGTTTAAAAAACATGGGGAAAAGTGACTGATCTAAGTAGCAGATTAAACAAAATCACCACACTGGTAAAATAATAAAATTATGACTTGGTTGCCAAACGACCAAAACATACAAGACTATACAGTGCAATTTATAGGATACATGTAAAATTAACCACCATCCTAAGTTACACATGAACCAGTATTCTCTTCAGTAAATTAACATGACTAAGTGGCACTGTTCCCACCTATCACGGCTGTACCTGTCATAACAATTGCCATGAAGCAGAGACTTTGCATATGCATCCATTGAAGTCACTGGATCCTCTTCCCTGTATCCCTGCTCAGTTTCATCCAAAGTCACAAAGAAAGCTGCTTTTTCCACAGCATCCAAGGACTGCTTGTTCTTCCCATGGCCAAAATAGGCCTGACGAGCCTTAGCCCAGGGTACTCTGCAGCAAGAATTACAGTTTATGGTCATGTTATGAAAATGTGTCAGTTTTTTAACCACCTTTAAGAGCACAGTGTGAGTCTATAAAGCTATGGTGTCCAATCAGCTCTGAAGTAGTAGCCATTATAGTGGCTAAAGCTATTGGCTAAATAGCCACATTGTTAAAGCTAACTAGCCACACTCAACTGGCCAAATAGCCACATGTGGCTAGTGGCTAGCATGTTGGACACCACAGCTATAAAGCAATCTTATATTGTAAGAGAGCTAAATGTTCTTCAGATTTCACCTTGTGCCTAATGAATCTGTACTAGCAGTGACACGTGAGGACATCACTACAGATATTATTGAATCAGAGTCATGGGACTGTCAAAGGCCAACTCCAAGTAGTACACAGGCAGGAAAGTTGGTTTTCCGGAATTAAACATAACTCTGGTATACAAAATGCACACTATACACCATGCACTCTTAGAGCCTAACAAAACACAACTTCTTGATGCACATCTATGGAAAGACACAAACACACACACACACACACTAGAAATTAGATTTAAAAGGTCACAAAAACACTGTAGGTGCTCAAATACTATGACAAAGGAGATGAGTGTAATAACCTGGAGAGATTAAGGATGTTAAATTGCAGTTATCTGGCTAATCGTGTAGTCGATACAATTTGTGCTGCCTTCAGAGCTAGGTAAAAGGAAAGTGGTGGTTGTAATGTTAACTACGGATGTGAACAGGTAACCAGTTAACTGGTGACTAGGTGATGCTTACCAGTAAGTAACCTGTTAACCAGTACTCCAGCCCTGCAGGGCTGGCTGGCAGGAATAGCAGCCCCACGGGGCCAGGAGTGGGCTGCTCCAGGTAGGCTAGAGTGGTCCCAAGCCCCCAGGATCTTGCTTACTGGGTTAACCAGTTAAACCTAACATTTAAGCAGTTAAATGGCATTTTACATAACTAATTTTGACCATGTGGCCCAGCTCTGAGGGCAGCACAGAAGTAAAGGTTACAATATCATACAACCGGTCCCCAAGTTATGAACGGGTTACGGACCAAATACTTGGCCATAACTCTAAATATTCGTAAGTGGGACCCCATTGAGTTACATTGCAACTGCGCTGTTTGTAAGCACGGGTCGCGTTTGTATCTCGGGGACCACCTTTACGACTGCTTAATGGGAGGTTTGGTCATAAATGCGAACGGTCGTAAATCGACCATTTGTAACTTGGGGACCGGCTGTACTCACGTGGCCCTTGCTTCTATACTGCTGCTTTCAGAGCCGGGTGGCCAGACAGTGGTGGCTGATGACTAAGCGCCCAGCTCTGTAGGCACCAGTACAGAAATAAGGTGACAATACCATCCTTCCTTCTGCATAGCTGCTGGCAGCAGCATTGCCTTCAGAGCTAGTTAGGTAGAGAGTAGTATCTGCCTGCCAGGAATCTAGCTCTGAAGGCAGAATTACTGCCAAAAGCAGTGCAGAAGGCAAGATGGCATGGCATGATATTGCCACCCTTACTTCTGCACTGCTACCTGCAATACCATACCATGCCATGCCATCCTTGCTACTGCACAGATGCTGGCAGACACTGCTCTCCAGCTATCCAGCTCTGAAGGCAATGCTGCTGCAAGCAGCTGCACAGAAGCAGGGGTACCAATACCACAACTCCTATGCAATAAACTTGCAACGTCCCACAGAATTCCTTGTTGGGTAAGGGCCCCTACAATTACAACACCATGACATTTCAGATTTAAACATGGTAAATCATGAAATTTACCATTTTAAAATTCTGTGACTGTGAAATTGACCAAAATGGACCATGAAAGTTAGTAGAGCCCTAATTATGTCTGAGATTTTAGCTAACAAAGATAGTATCTGATGTCTGAGTGCAAAAATTGTAACCCCTTTCTCTTGTATGCAGGTGGCTAGATTTTTGGAGTCAAATAAGTAAATCTGTGTAAGAGGGTGTATAATTTAATATTAATTTATTATAAGACTGCATGTAATGCCGACAGAACTGAACTGAACCTGGGACCTCTGGAACTTAGTTCATGAGCCACTACTGCTTGAGCTAAAAACCATCTGACTTTCAACTAAGGCTGTAGTGCAGAGGAAACCTCTAGAGAAAATTCTCTAAAATAAAGAATCATCAATCTTTCAGGCATATGTTTTCCAAGCCTACCAGAAACAAGAGGACAAACTGATCTTTGGTGTAAGGCTACTGACTTCAGCGAAGTTATAACATGAATAAGTTCAGTCCAGTCAATCAAATTCTTTCTCAATTAGACATTCTTAAATTTGGTTGGAGTAACTCCAAAGTCAAAGGGATATTTTAGATTTATACTCGTATAATCAGCAGAATCTGACAGTCCTGGTTTTAAGATTTTCTTTCTTTCTATCTATCTAATTAAATATGCTAATGTCACATCAAAACAGATTTATATAAAAGTTCATAAGCTATCAAATATTGCTCAATTAAACAATTACTGATTCATACTGGAATAAATTGCCCAGGGAGGTTGTGGAATCCCCATCTCTGGAGATATTTAAGAGTAGGTTAGATAAATGTCTATCAGGGATGGTCTAGACAGTATTTGGTCCTGCCATGGGGGCAG